TATATATATATATAATCTACATTTATATATATATATATATTTGAAACAGAGTTTCACTGTTTTCGCCCAGGCTGGAGTGCAGTGATGTGATCTCAGCTCACTGCAACCAGAAATGTAGATGATAGATCGTCCTGGTTTAAACTGGAGGATGGATTGAAAAGGAGCAAGAATAATATGAGGAAGGCTTGTATGAAAACTCTCACATTGATAAAGGTGGAAGATGTGAATGCTTGAGTTTGGGAGGGATACAGTGGGATACAGTTGGTAGGATGGAGAGGAATACACAAATACGGGATTTTAGGAAGCAGAATGAACCAAATGACCAATTGAATATGGATGGTAAAGTGTAGAAAGGAGTCTTGGCTGACTCCCAGGTTTCTGACTTGGGCATCTGTTTGGAAGTTGGTGCCATTTACAGAGAGAATATATTGAGAGGATAGTTTGAAGAACTGTGATTTCATAGTTGAATTTTACATGTTTCTCGTTTAGAATACATTTGGAATTCCTACATGGATGTGTCTACTAGACAGTTAGATATATGTGAATATAGAGGAGAAAGATCGAGCTAGAGAGATTGGGAGATGTAAATGGCCCTTGAAGTGATGAGCATGTACAGTATTTTCCAGGTTTGAGTATAGAGAGTAAGAGAAAAGGAATGAGAAAGATCACACTCTTGAAACAGGGTAAGGCTGGGTGCTGTGGCTCATGCCTGTAATCACAGCATTTTGGGAGGCCGAGGCAGGCGGATCACCTGAGGTCTGGAGTTTGAGACCAGCCTGACCAACATTGAGAAACTCCATCTATACTGAAAATACAACATTAGCTGGGTGTGGTGGTGCATGCCTGTAATCCCAGCTACACAGGAGGCTGAGGCAGGAGAATCACTTGAACCCGGGAGGCGGAGGTTGTGGTGAGCCGAGATCTCGCCATTGCACTCCAGCCTGGGCAACAAGCAAAACCCTGTCTCTACTAAAAAAAAAAAAAAAAAATTAGCCAGGCGTGGTGGCACATGCTGTGATCCCAGCTACTTGGGAGGCTGAGGCATGAGAATCACTTGAACCCGGGAGGTTGCAGTGAATGGAGATTGTGCCACTGCACTCCAGCCTGGGCAACAGAGAGTAAGACTCTGTCTCTAGATGTGTATAAGAGACAGGCTGAGGCATGAGAATCACTTGAACCCGGGAGGTTGCAGTGAATGGAGATTGTGCCACTGCACTCCAGCCTGGGCAACAGAGAGTAAGACTCTGTCTCAAACATAAAAAAATAAAATTAAATAAATAAATAAAGTAAAAGTGTTACTGTACTACCAATGGCTCCAATAAACAGGGCTAAACTCCTTCAGATGTCAAAGAAATGGTTAAAATTTAAAAAAGAAAAAAGGCCAGATGCAGTGGCTCATGCCTGTAATCCCAGCACTTTGGGAGGCTGAGGTGGACGAATCATCTGAGGTCAGGAGTTCGAGACCAGCCTGGACAACATGGCAAAACCCTGACTCTACTAAAGACACAAAACTTAGCCAGGTGTGGTGGCACACGCCTGTAATCCCACCTACTCAGGAGGTATGGGAATAGCTTGAACCCAGGAGGAGGAGGTTGCAGTGAGCTGAGATGACGCCACTGCACTCTAGCCTGGGCGACAAGACTGAGTGTGAGAAGGGAATATTAAATATCTCATTAGTAATTTTTACGTAGGCTACATGTTGAGATGATGGTGTTTGGGATATAGTGGAATAGATAAAACATTATTAAATTGTTGTCACCCTTTTTTTCTAATGTGGCTACTATGAACAGCACACAAGTTTGCTTTCTTTCTGTGGGCTGGAGGGGCTTGAACCCCGGAGCGGGTGGCAGGTTGGCCTGTGGCCTGGCACCACCTGGTGGTGAGTGCAGGGAGTGCGAGCTCCGGGTCCCTACCGTTGACCACGATGGTGAGCAGGCAGTCGAAGAGGGGCTGCAGCCGCTGGTGCCCGCTGGTGATGATTTTGTGGAACACCTGTGCCGGGAGGGACAGGGGCACTGTGGGCTCCCCGCTGCCTCCAGACTCAGCCAAGAGGACGCCGCCCCTGCACCAGCTGGGCCCAGCCACACGAGCCCCCTCACCACAATGAGCAGGTCGGCGTGGGTCCCCGTGAAGACTGGGATGTCCATGGGCACGCGAACCGAGTAAGGCTTGTTCAGCCGCACCCCAAAGTTCCGCTCCCCGCTCAGAAGCAGCAGGATGAAGACACCAATGTGCATCAGGCCCACCCGAGCTGCGGCAGGTGACGTGGGAGGGGTCACTCGGGTGGGAGGGGGAGGGAGGGGCCCAGACAGGGACCATTTTGGGGGCCTCCCTCCCGGGAGGTTAGAGTGCCAGGCCTGAGCTCCTGGGAGGCAGGGCAGATGGCGGGCCCTCCACCTCGCCACCAGGAAAGCCCCCAGCATCCCACCCCACCCTGGTCTTACATTGATCGGCCCGGGCATCGTTGAGGAAGAAGAGGATGGGGACAAGGATGTCTAGGACGTCACTGCTCTTCAGTACGAAGAAGAGGAATTTCTGGGGATGTAGGGAGGGACCAAGTGGGCTGAGTTCGAGGGAGGGGCAGCTCTGCCCCACCCCCCTCAGTCTGACACTGTCCCCGCCCCTGGGCTATTGGAGCAGCTGCTCTCCATCTTCCTGCAGGGCCCCTCGAGGCTGGCCCACCTTGTTGAAGTCGCAGAGCTTCCAGAAGAGAACTAGCAGCTCCTGGTGGAACTGGATCTTCTTGGTGGAGTTGGGCAGGTAGGTCTGGAGCAGGGGGTTGGACAGCAGCCGGGCTATACCCTTGAGGATGAACTGGAAGTCCTGGGGGTGAGGGCAGAGCAGCGGGCCTGTCCAGCATGATCCCCACAGCTCCAACTTCCCAGCCTAGGCCCCCCACAAATGCCTCCTCCTTCCCCCAGAGCCAGATCCCACCTCCAGAGACCGAGGGTCCTGATGCTATCATCCATAGCTATCCTGGGGCGATGCCTCAGGAAACGGAGTCCCTCATAGGTGTGGACAGCCCTGGCTCCTCCACCAGACTGCAGACTCTCTGTCCTTGGGCTGTGCACCCCTTGAGCAAGGCTGCCGCTCCCAGTGAGCTCCCACACATGCACACCCTCAACCTCGTCCCTGCCCACCTGAGACTCATGGTTGACAGACTCCATCCTTCTACCCCTCCCCAAAATACTCCCCCATCACCCCATCACACTCGAGGGGCATTCCACTGTTGTGTCATTTACTGAGACCTGCCACCAGCTGGGGTGAGAAGGCAGCTAGTGTCCTGTGTTTTAGCTGCAGAAGTTAGAACTCTGGGAGTTCAAGCACCTTCCCACCAAGATCACAAGACACGTGAACTGGGACTGCCTGGCCTGAAGCCCTTGTCCACTGTCATTCTCCTCTCTCCCCACCACCTCTGAAATGACATCAGCCGCCTCCTCCTAGAAGCCTTCCCAGTTACTTCTACCCAGGTGAGGCCATCAGCCCTTCCTGCACCTTGGAACCCTCACAGCCCTGCCAGTATTTCATCTGGGGTGGCCCCATACCACAGAGAGCATGGTTCCTTCATGGAGGGGTCAGGATCCCCCATATCCCTGTCTCACTTGCATCCTCCCGCCCCCTGCAAAGCCACTGTGGGGAATGGACTTGCCTCCTCACGATGGATGCGGGACAAGTAGTTCACAAACAGGTTCTCGGGGCCTGGAGGCTGCCAAGATGAGAAGCCTGTGGTAAGCAAGCGTCCTCCCGGCCACCCGCAGCCCCAGCAGCTGCCCTTCATGCTCCCATCCTTACATCGGCATCATCCATGGCGGTGCCAGTGGTGGTGCCGTCCACAGTGGGGCTGGCACTGCTGGCGCTGTCGTGGTCCAAGGTGACAATGAGCACCTGGGCAGCCTCCTCCACCAGGGGCTCCCGGTAGTCAGAGAAGAGCAGGTGGTTGTAGGGGATCCCGTAGCCCACAGGGTCATAGGCACACACGGTGTTGAGGAGGGAGGTGAAGAGGGGCAGGGCATGTCTGCAGCACAAGAGGAGACAAGGCTGCAGAGGCTCCACCGGGGCCCAGCCCCCTGGCCACACCCCTCTGGCCACATGGGAGGGTCACCCTCATTCAACAAGCATTTTAGCGCCAGGCCAGGGAGTGGCTTGGAAAGAGTGGGTGGGGGAAGCCCAGAACCATGAGTAGGGCACATTCATACCCCTTAGGGTCTAAAGGGGCAGATACCCTCCCTCAGGGCCTCAGAGATGGGACTGGAGGCCCATGGAGAAGGCGGGCTTCCCCTCGGGGAGCAGAGCCCAGGCTCAGCCAACCAGTTCCCAGGCCACAGAATGATTCCACTCAGACTCAAGAGATGTCAGGGTTCAAGCTGCTCGTCTTACAGATGAGGAAGCTGAGACCCAGAGAGGTTAAGTGAGGGACAAAGGGTGGCAGTTTGCCTGATAAGGCTGGTGAGAAAGAAAGCTCTGGCCAGTCTCTGACCATGGCTGGTGGAGGGGACTGCCTGGCTGCCCTCTCTTCTGGAGTAGGGTGGAAGGTTGAACAGAAGACTAGGAAACCTGAATAAGGCGTGTCATGTAGGGACCAGAGTCTGAAAGGCGGAGGTTGACCGCCACCTGCTGGGCACTGACCCTATGCGGCCAACGCAGTTCCCCGTGGGAGCTACCTGCTCAAATACTCAACCCTGCCATGTGACACGTGTGACAGCCCCCCGCCCCATGCTCACGTGTCCCCCACAGTCCATGAGTGCCTCATGTGGGCTGGGCCTCCCTGCCCTTCGGGGTATTTGTCACACATACACCCCAACCCGGTCTCTAAACTGCAGGATCCCACACAGCAGCCTCAAGCCACAAGGAGCTGTCCAGCCCTTGGAATGTGGCTGATTGGAACTGAGACCTGCTATAAGTGCAGAATACACACTGGATTCTGAAAACTTAGTATGAAAAGGGGGATGTGCCAGCCGGGCG